TCTAGAGGCAATGAAAGCATTTTTAAGAACACAGGTAATAACCCATACTTTAATATTTTTTCGATTTCCTGCTTTTTAATAGGGTTCATCCTTGGGTGATGGCAAACAATTCCACTGAGTTTCTTTAAAATCTGTCGAGATTTGTGCCTTTAGAGTGTTTACAGGCTACAAAATTGAATGCATTTTCAAGAATTGTCCCTTCTAGAGTGTTTTCAAGAACAAGGGCAATAATATTTTTCCATTTTTCTGATGTTTAATATGGTTCTTTCTTGGGTGATCACGTCACGTCTGTCACGAAACCAGCTTGTGGACATACAGACCGATTCCAATAGAAATATCATATCCTTGTAGTCACATGATGAAAAGCTCCAATTGGCAATAAACTAAATCATCAGCCTGAATAGAGATTGACATTGAATCATGGTATATGAATAGAGATAAAACAAATAAGATAACTTACTGTCTTGAGATGCCCTCTCTAAGGCCAACAGAGCCAACTTTTGGATGATAGCATACTCTGACTTCAATAATTCTAACATAGGAGCTAATCCATCAAAATCTCTAATGTTAGACCGAGTTTGGTAATCTAACATTAATTGAGCAATAGCTTCAACAGCATTTTTCTGAACATCAGGATCATTAGAGGACAGACATCTAACTAGTGGTTCAAGTCCATTACTCTCATTTATTGCCACTTTACTGGTAAACTCTTGAGCAAGGGCAGATAACCCCAAGGCAGCAAATTCATGAACAACTGCATCTTCTGAAGAAGAAATAAAATATTTAGAACATATAATGAATCTTAAAGAAATATTGTATTAGATTGAAATTACTTAAACAAAATGCACAAAAATATCATGTAGAGTCCTTTGAGTCATATTTTATTTTAAGCTTACAAATTGGAATCCAAATATGCAATAAAAACAAATATTTGTTTGCAACTTTCAGCAATTAGCTTCACCCACCCCTAAAACATTAGAATGGTATTTTTTAGTCAAATAAAACTAAACATTTGCATTCCTACATGCATGACAGTATTTCTGAATTTCATCTATTTTTAGTTATGAAAAAATGTTTATGTAGCACACTTTCAAATATCATTCAGTCTTTGTCAATTGTGCATAAATCGAAATTTGATCTCGATAATGTCCATTGTCCATTGTCCATTCAGGTATAATTTTGACAGAGATTGAGATTGATGGAAAATTTTCTGTTACATGATACATCATAAACCTAGTATGTAACAGAATAGATGATACAAATTGAAGCCAAGCACTTACCCTCTGGAGATAACAGAGCAACAAGTGTTGGTATAGATTCTTCTCTCTTTCTTAAATATTTCCTTACATCAGCTACAATTATAATATATCACTTGTAATTAAATGTTTGTCTAGTTTTATCATTTAAGGCTGAATACAACATGTTGAACTTAAAAATCTTGATATTTATAAATTCTTATATCAACTTACAATTAGCACACATAGTACTTAGAGCCATACAGGCATTTCTTCTAGAGATTCTATCTTCACCTGCCATTAGTTTCAATAATGCTTCAATTGCTCCTAAATCCATCAAAGTCTTTTTATTTTCATCACCTGCATTAAAAATATGATTTAGAGAATGTAGGTATTAGAGGAAAGCCTTAGTCTGAATCAAGAATGTCAATGAAGTTTAAAACCAATATAATAAAAACAATTCATAAATTAAATATGTTTTACTGTATGCATACCATTTGAACAAAAGAGTCATGAATGTATCTATTCCATGCTGCGAATTTCAGCTATAATTATAGAAGCTTAGAAGATGCAAACACATAGGTCCTAAAGGTTGGTGGGTAAAACTTACATTTATCAACAAATTTATAAATGGCTTCACAGGCTTTTGCTTGAACATCTTCTTCAGGACTACTTAACATTAATACTACAGTTGCTGCTTGTCGACTCTCTACCAATAATGTATCAAACTGTAATAATAATAATAATTTAAAAGATAGCTTGCCAGGCAAGGTAATATACGCCCACTGACAGTTTTGATTTTAAACATAAATATTTAGCAGTACAGTAACAATCACCAGTATGAAATATTCAACCTTCAGTCATACACTTCTTTTGAACTCTTTAGGGCGATACTGAATAATATTGAGTATGAGTTATTGCCCTTGTTCTTGAATACGTGTTCAATCTTTAGCTCGTGAAAACTCTAGAAGACAAATATTCAACCTTCAGCGCGGTAATGAATAATAAAACCATGTTTTGTCAAAATCCAGCAAGAATCATGCCTTTTAGTGCTTAAGAGCTAAATTTTAAAGTTCTTTTCAAGAACAAGGGCAATAACTCATACTAAATATTTTTCAATTTTTCTGATTTTCAATAGGCTTTATCCTTGGGTGATAAACACTCAAGCCAAATTTCGTTAAAATCTGTCAAGAATTGTCCCTTCTAGAGTGTTTACAAGCTAAAATTTGAACGTGTTTTCAAGAACAAGGGCAATAACTCATACTAAATATTTTTCAATTTTTCTGATTTTCAATAGGCTTTATCCTTGGGTGATAAACACTCAAGCCAAATTTCGTTAAAATCTGTCAAGAATTGTCCCTTCTAGAGTGTTTACAAGCTAAAATTTGAACGTGTTTTCAAGAACAAGGGCAATAACTCATACTAATTATTTTTCAATTTTTCTGTTTTTCAATACGGTTTATCCATGGGTGATAACTAACACTCAAGCCCAGTTTCGTCAACATCCGTCAAGAATTGTGCCTTCTAGACGGACGGACCGACGGAAATGGGTGACAACAATATATGCCCCTCATTTCATGTGGGCGTATAAAAAAACAGAAACTAACAACAGGCCTAAACATTCATCCAAATCCAGGAGAATCCAGATGGACTCTCACAAATGCAATCTGCGAGAGTCCTCCGAATGCTTTACACAAAATATAGATACAATGCCCTGTTCTGTTAATAAATCACATGCAAATCCCTGCAAATGACTGTACATGACCATAATGTATATATTGCAGAAAAAAGAAAAAACTAGAGCCACACATGGCACAGAGTGGGACTTTGCAAATGTAGCAAAATGCAAAATACTCCGAAAAAATCAACCTTCGACGATAATTAGATCACGCGCAAGAACAGTCTATAGTTGAGAAATTTTCATTTTGTAGAAGATTCTAATAGCAGAAGTAGAAGTCAGACCTCACAAATGAAAGTATCAGCAGATAGCCAAGGTCAATGACCTTTGATCTTGTAAAGAAGAAGGTCTAAAAATGTCAAGATCAAGAGATATACGTCATCAAAATTTCAAATTCCACACGACTATAAAACCGGAAGTTGACATAGGACGGCAAATATAAAAGTATAAATAGATAGCCAATGCCAATGACGTTTGATCCTACAAAGGTCAGGGTCAACAAAGGTCAAGGTCAAAAATTGAAAATTTTGAATTTCCAAAACCTGTTCCTTTTTTTGAACTATGAAGCGGAAACAACCGAAATTCTAAGACAAAGTGGCTCACAATATGAGGTAAGTGTATGCAAAGTTCCATTTTGAACAAACGTATACTTTGCGAGTTATGCTCCTGGCCAAAAATGTCAATAATGAGTAATATAACCCAGATGTGCCATGCCCACCTTAATTTTTTTTGCATAGGGTAATTGATATTCCAAATGTTATGTTGTGTTTTAAATTTCAAGCTTCTACATTATTCAGGTCAAAAGATATAGGTCAACAAATGTCAACAAAGGTCAAAATTGAAAAATGAAAATATCCAAATGTTAAAACCCGTTCCTTTTTTGGAACTATAAAGCTGAAACAACTGAGCTGTTAACACAAACTGGCCAAAAGGATGAGGTAATTATGTGCAAAGTCCATTTTTTAACAAACGTATCCTATGCGAGTTATGCCCCAGCTCCAAAATGTAAACAATTAGTAATTCAACCCGGATGTGCCACGCCCACCCCAATTTTTTTGTCATGGGTGAAATCATATTCAAAGTGTCTAGTTGTATTCCAAATATCAAGGTTCTACATAAAATAGGTCATAAGATATACATACACCAAGATCAAAAAGACACAAATATGGTAAAACAAAACTCAAATTTGAAAATTTGCTTTTAAAAAGCAATTGTTCTATATCTATGTAAAGTGCATGAAAAGCACATTAGGAAACCGAAAAAATTAACCCTCTAGGTTAATTAGGTCACGTGCTAGAGCAGTCCAAAGTTGTGAATTTGGCTTTTTACCGATAGCTATAAAACCGGAAGTACATGTCGGAGGTCAAAGGTCAAAGTATCAAATGATAGCCAAGGTCAATTACCTTTGACCTACAAAAGGTCAACGTCATCAAGGGTCAAGGTCACAAGAAATAAGCTTTCAAACTTTGAAAAAATTAAACCGGAAGTTGCGAAAATTTGACCGGAAGTGGATTGTACATTCAATTGATTCCCCGTTTAAAACCGGAAGTAAAGTTAAATATTTGGCAACTACATATTATTAACTTTAGTGATGCCCCTTTGCATATTAAATTTCAGATCAATCGATGCAAAAGCAAAAAAGTTGCAAAAAAATTGAAAAATTTGATCGAAAAAAGTGAGCGACGAATTTTCAAATTTCGAAATTTTTCAAGTGATATCAGGTCAGAAATTACAGGTAGATTGTAAAAATGAAAACCCGAAGAAAATCGATGCAAAAATTTGCCTTCTAGAGCCGATTTTCGACTTTTTGCACATGTTGAACTGTGGCACTTCCGCTTTTGCAATATATATTTAAGGAACACGTTGCCACTACAGAAGGTCTAGAGAAGTTGAATGGTTGCTGCAACTACTGCAGTCTAAGCTCAGGAAGGTGTGTAAATTTCGAAAAAAAAAAAGAATGGACATTTCGATAACAAACATACATAAATAAATAGTGTCCCTTAATTCTTGTTGCCACACATTTAGCACCGTTTGTTTCGAAACATATTTTTTAACCCTGCTTGATGGTTGCCGTGATGCAATGATGGAACTTGGTGTGCGGTGTTTGAATGGATTTTATGACATGTGGTCATCAAAAATAATTACGCTATCTATCAGTGGTTTTTTTGATCTATTTTACAGTATATGAATATAAATCTATGCGGTATATATTAATAATATAATAGATTATGAAAACTATGAAGAAATATATCATCGGCTCGCTGTAGGATTGACTTGTAATGAAGGCCGGACTATTTGAGCTTGACAAAACAAAACCTCTGTCCTTCGCGAAGTGAAAATGGTTAGCGGATAATGAAAAAAAAGTAACAAGCTGAAATTTTGACCATGAAGTCTGATGACATTGATCAACTTTAAATCATGACAAACTTACCACATCCTCTGGGGGAGCCTTTTCATCCTTTTTAACCTTCTTTCCCATATTTGGACAATTATTCAGTATTTCTATAAATATAAAAACTTGAATTGAAACATACAAGACAGTACTAAGAACTTTTAAGCTGACTTGTCAGGCAAGATAAAATAGGCCCACTGGAAGCTTTGATAATAAATAAAAATATTTGGCAGTACAGTAACAATCACTAGTATGAAATATTCAACCTTCACTCATACACTTCTTTCAAACTTTTGTGGTGCTACCAAGCCATATAACTAAGTTTTGTCAAAATCCTGCAACAATTGAACCTTTAAGTGTTTATGTGCTGAAAATTAAATGCATTTTCAAGAACTAGGATAATAACCTAACCTAAATTTGTGAGGCATCCCTTTTGGAGAGTCCACACATACAGGTAATTGTCTATTTGGTACATTCATTGGTATAGCCCCTTCCTTTGCTTCAAACATTTAACTGGAACACAGGTATGCCTAATTGTGTATTATTTACTATCACAGCTCAAAGGCCTTCCTATGTTTCAGAGATTAAACTGAATCACTGTTGTATTTGCTTATTGCTACACTAAATTCAAAATCCCACGGTAAGAATTCTGACCAGTAATACTATTACAGTCAAGTAACCTAATTTCGTGCTAATCTATTTTTCATGCATCTCCGGAAATGATTAATAATTCACATGTGCGAAAGACCTCCGTATTTGCTTGTTTTGATAAACATGGGTTATCTGTATCTCAATATGCATTAAATATCCCATATTTTACCGTGTCTATTGGTACTATATATAAGCTTATATAAATTTAATGTTGTTCATCATAGATATAGTACCTATCTCACCTTTTTTGTTATTTTCGCTTGATGAAGGGATTAGTCCCGAAACGTAGCTAATTGCATGGACTTTTCCTGCTGTTGGCACGTTATCGTGTGATTTATATTTCCCTTTATTAGAAGTCGACTCATCGTTTTATATTTTTTGTTATATATAAATTTATGCTATACTATTTTCTGTCTTTATATTAGATTTACCATGTTCTGTAAGTATGTATTTTTTTCTCTATGCATTACTAATATATATCAATAATGTAAGTTATCATCTACCTTTCGTTGAATTTTGTAATTTTTGTAATTTTATATCTTTCTCAAATGTACCATTCTTTGTATGATGCCTTTAATGGACGTCTTTGATACAATAAACTTATCTATCTTATCTGTACAATGTCAGCTAGTAGAATAAATCCAGTAGTTTCAAGCAAGGTAAAATGCATTAATGTATACTTTGACAAATACAAAATGGCAGATTTCAGTTATTACTAAACATCTCAATTTTGCCGAATTTCCTTATAATCCCAAGCTGTAATCGGAATTTCAAGTGTCTTCTGCTAGAATATGGTCCAATGAACAAAGTCAAGTGATAAACTTGTGGATTCCGTGTCAACAGAAAAATTCTGTGGAACACAACATGGGCCATATTCCTCTGTTGTTTCAATGACTTTTAGCATTATCTTATTTTGTTAGTCACTATTTATTTTTTAAATCATTGTTCTTTGAAGGAATTGTCATTTGTTATAATGAAATATTATTAAAGATAAATAATAAAAAATGATAATTATACCACTGGGTATTCATACAACGAGTTTCTCTCGACTTATTTCTAGATCTTAAAAACATTGTCCACGAAAAAAGGTGACGCATTAAAATGCAGGCGCTGTTACTCAAGTTTGTTACTCATGAAATATGGGTCAAAGTGAGGGATTCATAAAGAAAATTGAAAAAAAACAATTTTAATTATTTTCTGAAATAATACCTGAGGAAACTTCTACTCTCTGGCCAAATTGACTTCTAAATTGAATTTTTTCTTTCATGTCACAAATATTCAAAATATGATTTTCAAGTGCATACCAATGGTTTTAGAATGCCTTGGGTCCATGAATATATAAGTTTTGAAAATTTTGCACTTGAAATGAACACGCTTCTCTTTAAGAAATTTTGAACTGAAAATCTCCCTCTGTAAAATCATTATTTCAAATAATTTTGTTTTCAATCAATAAATGGTTGGAATTTTCATCAACCAAAAGAAAATCTAAGACTCTCAGCAATATTGATTGGAGATTAATATTTCAAATCATACAAAAATGATAGCCAAAATGTGATTTAGAACTTGATGTGGGCAGAGAGTAAGTCATAAATTTTTTGGTTAAATTTTGACAAAATTTGGTGTTGAATTCTATTATGCACGAATAGTTACACCACTGTAATGCATTTGGTGTTGAGAACTGGCAACCCCAAATGGCGTTACTGTAGACATAGTAGGCTAGTGTATGACTTGATTTCGTCCAATCAATGCCAACAAGGTGACACCAACCCATTCCTTCTTCAGGTTGGAACAGATAGGCCTTTTAAATAGTACCTCAGGTCAACCATTACAGTGACAGGCCGTCCTTTTCTTTGCATTTTTGGATCAAGTTTAGAGGTTTTTTTTTTACATAGATCTACTTCTACCCATGGCAAAATGTGGAGATGATGATTAAGTTCTAAAGAAAATTACTTTCTAATTTTACTTACGTTTCGTTGAATTCAACAAATATTAGATTGGTATTGAGACTTTATGAATATTAAAACTTATCTACATTCACCAAATCGTCTTTCTGAGTTTGTTGCTAACTGACGTTGAGATTTGTTTACATTGAGAACCGATTCACCGAGTTGGTGTTATTATAAAATAATCCACTTCCGGTCACGTAAAATTTTATAGACCTCTAGGAAACTAGAAAACGTGTGATCGAAATAAGGCTACCTCGGATTGCTGTTCATGAAATTGGATAGTTGTATGTATTGAGGTATAAAGAGAAACAAAAAATATTATAAACATGTTCAACTACTTGAATACAATCCATACCAAATTTCATAGACTTTATTACCTCCCCATTTTGTCAAACCAATATATTATAAGGCTGACATTTTGACTTCTATTCTGAACATATGACTGTGCTATGATGAATATTTGAGCGCATAATTAGACTCGCTTTCTCAGGCCAGGGCAAACTACGGATAATCAACAGATCATCCTACTAGGCCTATGACCTTACTTTTTAGCAAATGAATACACCCTCCTTTGAGAACTATAGCAATTAAAGGGAGATAAATCCAGTCACTGCAGAAAGCATTCGGCAATTCTCGTCTGTTTCCGTAAGCTGAATCTGTTGCAGAGCACTATCGTAACTTAAAAGGCTGCTTGCACAGAAAGTATCCTAAGCGAAGGTGAAATACAGGAACATCGATAGGCCCAAATATCTTTTTTAAAGAAAAATAAGACACTGGTGGAAATGAGAACTTCTGTATATGACAATTTGTTAGAAAGTCCAATTTCGTTTTTCATACACATACGCTAATATCAGCTGATTTTACTCAAAAAAGGCATACTTTTTAAAGTTCATAAATATAATTAGGCTACCTAAAAAAAAAAAAAAAAAATACTTTGTCGAAGTCCAACGCAAAATTAAGAATTTCACTCAGACCCAATTTCGTGATAGTTTAAATTGCATTTTCAGGCATTTTTCAGCTTGCCAGGCAAGTAGCCTAATATATGCCCACTGACAGCTTTGATTTTAAATAAAAATATTTGGTAGTACAGTAACAACTACCAGTATGAAATATTCAGTCTTACACTTCTTTTGATCTTTGTTGGGCAATACTGAATAATATTACCAAGTTGTCAAGAATAGGGCCTTGTGTTTACAGGCTAAAACTTGTACGCATTTTAAAGAACAAGGGCAATAACCCAATCTAAATATTTTTTCGATTCTTCTTATTTTCGATAGGGTTCAGCCTTGGTTGATAACAGTCACACGAAGTTTCATCTACGAGCTAAAAATTGAACGCATTTTCAAGAACAAAGCCAATAAGTCATACTAAATAGTTTTCGATTTTTCTGATTTTCAATAGGGTTCATTCTTGGGTAATAACAAACTCTCATGCCAAGTTTCGTCAAAATCCGTCACTAATTCAACCTTCTAGAGTGTTTACGAGCTAAAATTGAACGCGTTTTCAAGAACAAGGGCAATAATTGTCAAGAATAATTCGATCAATGAGTGATAGGCTGGCTTGTTATATATCGATTTGCTTCAGTTTTCTAAACACGGTTGCCATTTAAGTGTTCTAGGCTTTAATTTGTGACACAGTGCTACATTTTCCATTGGATATAAGTTATAACCAGTCTTCAGAGGACGTTGATGTGCTATGCGAATCCGCAGGCCTATACGTCCGCTATGTCATCCACACAAGAAGCGTGTAGTTGGGTTATTCTCAGACACATTTATATTTATGTCTATCAAAACCAAAGGTATCTAGTGTTGCATTCCCGTTGTAATGTATATACAGTATTTCATACTGGTGATTGTTACTGCATTGCCAAATATTCTTTATTTAAAATCAGAGCTGCCAGTGGGAGTATACTACCTTGCCCGGCAAGCTATTTTTCACAATGTACTTAATAGTTTCTATGGAATTACCAAAAGTTTCCGAATATTTTTAAGGTCATAAACAGGTAAACAATTTGATAAGAAATTTACAAGTAATTGTTTCAAATCTGTGTTAGTCAGGGATTGAGGGACATGGGTGTTAGTTTGTGTGAACTTTAAGAAGAAGAAGTATGCATTTAATGAAACATTACACTTGAAAATGGTGGTCATTTTGGATTTCGTGGAATCTTTTTTATCTCTAATGTCTGTCCGTCCGTCCATCCACATTTATTGTATGCACGATGGAGGCGACAGTTTTTAACTGATCTTAATGTAACTTGGTATGCATGTATATATTGATGAGATCTCAGTCAAATTCGATGATGTAACAATTGGATGAACGGTGTCGGATAGAAGCTACAGTTTTTATCTGAGCTTTATGAAACTCGGTCAAGTTCGAAAATGGTAATAATGAACGGTGTCCGAATTATTGCCTTTGACTTAACAGTCCTAACGTTTACTACCAAAAAAAGAGTATTCTGTACTGCCCATGGTCCAGTGACTATAATTAGTTGGTATGTCTACTGTAAACAATATGTCATCAGGTCTTAACACCACAATAAATCTGCCCAATTAAAGATTCAAAATTTAGTTCTGTTACGTTTGACCAGTATCATATTACATACATACACATCTTTATGACCTCTCTTATAACAACTTTTCTCATTGACCTTCATTCAACTTTTTGTAGAACCATTCCATAAACTCATTGGTTTCTTTTGTATCTTGTTTTAAAATAATTCAATAACTTTTTTTTCAACTGGCATCAGCACTTGCAAATTGGCATACGACAGACTTTGAAAACAATATGAGCAAACAGTGAAAAAAAAGGAAAATAACAAAAACCTGGACCCCATTGCAGCCGCTTAATCAGGCTGCGACGTTTGCCAGTATGCGTGTATGTTCCACAATGAGTTGCTGTTTATGTCTAAATGTATTTTACTGTAAATTACTGTAAACAACATTAAATGTTCTAAGCCGTTAAAAACACCCCATACCCATCACCTTCTGGGGGACCCATCGACGATCTATGGATCTTTTTGCAATTTCAGACATGAAAAGCAGCAATTTAGCTCATTTACTTGGGAAACCCTATTTTATACTGATAATTTTATGAACACAGATTTGGACATTTGGATGCATTTCCTTTACGAACATTGTCATAAAAATATCGCCAGGTACTGTCAAATTATCGCAAATCAATCAGAATACACAATTTGAACTTTTAAATTCAGTAAATTGAAATAGTATGCGCTAGAATTATTATTTAGTATAATTTTGAAGGACACCTCTATTTATCTGAATTTTTTTATGGTTTCAGAATGCTAAAACTTGGCAGCTTTCGTAAAAATTATAAAATTTTATCAAATATAGAAATTGTGTTTCTAAAGTGATCAGATTCGTGTGTTAAGATTCCTGATTTATAGGATTCTGATTTCTGAAATTTTATGACCACCTTCTTTTAAAAGAAATCAAACAGAGTTTTGATCAAGAGAACCAAATTTCAAATTTAAATCAGTGAAGAAAGACCTTGTTCTAAATTTAGAACATGAAATCTAATACCAGGGTGCCAAGAACTGGTCAAGTTATAGTACCTTCTTAGTGAGATATTGTCTATTTGGGACAAGGTGCAATATAAATTTGTATCATATCTGTCAAAGAGTAATGAACCATCACATTCCAGTTTTGGCTGTAACTGCCGCCAAGTGGTAGTAAAAGTTAGGACTGTTAATAAGAACGCGTCAGGTTTAATTGGCTTGTATGCACGATAAATACTACAGTTTTTATCCGATCTTGATGAAACTTCGCATGCATGTATATATTGACGAGAGAAATTGATATTAATCTGATGAACGGTTTGAGAACTGTTTTTGAGGTTTTGCCTTGACTTATAAACAGGTTGGATCACGTGCAGAAGAAAGCATGCACACTAGCGGTCTTGGTCGTAGATTTTTGTAGCTGATGAGTGTCTTGAGTAAAATATCGCGTTTGCCCTTTCTTCCGCGACAAGTTAATCGCACCCCGACAGGATTTATAATATCAAACAAGTTTGATAATTGTCTCCGATAGTTTTATCATCTGCAATGCCGACCGTCATCACCAAATCAGATTCATTTTCCTTCCAATTGCATGCTCCGCACATAATTATCGACATGGTGGAAAACCACCAACTGGAGATATTTGTTTCCCCGCGTGCCCGTTCCTGTAGGTGAAACCCTTGACAAGACTCTGGTCGGCGACAAAAATCAACGACCAAGACCGTTCGTGTGTCCGCACCTGAAGAGAGCCATCCTGTTGATGGATTTAGTATTTTCGTCGGTAGCTGAGGTTTTCATTGCCGAGCGCATAAAACTATCCAACTCTTTGAGTTCAAAGGTGAATGCAGAAGTGACATAAACTCTGATCAAGCAGTGCCGCTGTTTTTTTTTTATAACTAGCTTCAAGTGTTAAGTACGGAGCCCCTAAGGCGCAATTGTAAACATATTTATTAATTATTTCGTTTAAACGAAATAAACATAGGGTATTTCGTTAAAACGAAATAATTATATTAGTTAAGCTGATGACCAGTCTCGATTATCAAGATTCACAGAATCGTTAAGTTTTTTTTAAGAGCAACAGACGTTTATTCTACTAGTTCACCGTTATCTTAACACGTGATACTAATATACACAACCACTTTCGCGGGGTTTATGAAAGCTGAACAAACTGTATATGGCTTGTAAAACTCGTACTTGAGATTTTAAGAATTCTCGGTGAAAGGAACTTAATTTTTCTTATGAAATTTACATGCTCAAACAGGTAGGCCTTTGAAGTTGTTTTGTTCAAAAGCAAATGTCCATTGCAGATGCGCGCATACTAAATTTAATTCATACCTGTATCATAATTGTTGAACGAGAAGATTGTGACCCAAATAATAGTAATGATTTCACACGTGACCTGACCTGTCTTTCTTACTGACCGCTGGCTATGTAGTAATTTAATTGTATTGTAGGTAATTATTTATTATTTTGTTAACTGTCTACTTAGTCACTGTCACTTGTGAGAAAATGTTGGTTTTTAATTTGGAAAAGTTGTAGAGTAAACCACTTGCAATATTGTATACATTATGATCGTTATCAAGTAAATTATTCTCACCATAGTCAGTTTTAACTAATAACAATGTGTAGGCCTACTACCCTCTTCCTGGGCCTAAATAACTAAAACTAGAATTGGGAATTACTGCCAATACTGGTCAGGAAGTTTAAGGTGTTAACTCCTCACTATTAGCTCATTGGAATGAACAATTTTGTAGGAATAACTATTATGCATTTTACTTACAAGTATTTTTTATGAAAACACCATTTTTAGAATCTATTTCTATATGTTACATTCAGATCACGATTGATGTTTGGCTATTCTGCTTGAAATTTTTCTGAGCTTTTAAATAAAGTGACATCTCAAAGCATTTTCACTCGGAAACTGAGATCACAAAGCATTTTCACATAGAAACTGACATCTCAGAGCAGTTTCAAGTAGGAATTGACATCACAAAGCATTTTCAGGTAGAAATTGACATCTCAGAGCATTTTCACGAAGGAATTGACATCACAGAGCATTTTCACGTAGAAACTGACATCTCAGAGCATTTTCAAGTAGGAATTGACATCACAAAGCATTTTCACTCGGAAACTAACATCACAAAGCATTTTCACGTAGGAATTGACATCTCAGAGCATTTTCACGTAGGAATTGAGACCACAAAGCATTTTCACGTAGGAATTGAGACCTCAAAGCATTTTCACGTAGGAATTGAGACCACAAAGCATTTTCATGTAGGAATTGAGACCACAAAGCATTTTCATGTAGAAACTGACATCTCAGAGCATTTTCACTTAGGAATTGAGACCACAAAGCATTTTCACGTAGGAATTGAGACCACAAAGCATTTTCATGTAGGAATTGAGACCACAAAGCATTTTCACGTAGGAATTGAGACCACAAAGCATTTTCATGTAGAAACTGAGATAATATAACTTTAATGAGACAAAATTAAAAGATGGAATAATTATTGTCATGTTTTTCATGACTGGAATACTTTTAAACTTTATTCAAACAAAATAAAACTGATCTCATGCTTAAAGGAAGATTATTTTATGTAGGGAAGGTATGGGTAATCTATATTCTAGTTGGCAGTTATTATATAATCAGGCTTTATTCACTCGATTTGTGAAGTATACAACCTGTTTCTCTAAAGTTTTATTTTTACTATATAATCAGACTACATTAGAATTCAAATAGTCAAGATTCCTGTAAGTGTTGTTAAATATAGCACCATGAGAACTAGGATGGTATATGTATCTTTTGAGTGCCATTTGCACATATGAGATTGAAGAACTAAAGACTGTATACATGTTAGTATTTATTAAAGGGATAGGATGAACATAAAATTTTAATTTTGCTCAAATTTGGCCAATAACAGTATATACCCATCAGTGGACTTACATCAAAATCCCTCTATAATCCAATGTATCCACAAAATCAAGTAATTAATTATAAAACGCTTAATACATCCATTAAGCGATTTTCAAATCGTGAGCCTAGGAAATCCGGTGTAATTTTCAAGGGGAAGTGGGGTTTCCCGCGTCCTTGACCTCTACTCTTGAATTGACCTCGACATTGTCATATTTTGAAGACAGAATAATGATGCCTTGTAGGAGATTAAGCGACTCTGCTAAAAAGCAATTCATATAATTTAGAATGAATACTCCACCACTGACACAATTTTCAACGAATAGTAATCATTGGCAAAGTTTGTTTGTATACACCGGAAGATGATTGTTACCTTTTTAAAGTGTGGAATTCATACTTATTTAACCAATGGTCACTATTAAACACAAATATTAGCCACAGGGCGAGTGTATTCTAAGACATAGTATCACTTTAAAGATCTATGCACAATCAAAGGCTTCTGTAGAATTTTTGTCAAGGGGGTCAAAGAAAAATTTGAAAGCTTGACCTTGAAATGATGAATTCTGAAGTATATCTAAATTAGTATGTAAGGGTTATTTGGGTAATAAATCTGAGCATTCAGAAAACTGCTTAAACTGACATGTTTTTGCTTTTTGAACTTTTATCCTTTTAATTCAGAAGGGAGAGAAGAGTTGGTGGTGCAATACCTATATGCACAATGAAATGGCTTTTTAAATTGAAAATTGATTAAATTACATCCATGTAGAATCATCAGAGAGAGAGGTAAACAAATTAATTAATGTGCCTCATTGCTTGAATTTGGACTATAGGACAATATAAAATCCTAGTAGATCTATGTGATTGTATAATTTGTCTAGTGATCTGTTCATGTATTATTCCCATACAGTGCATTGGAAGCTTACTTCTAAATATTACTGATATTTATAGATTATACATCATTATTTTCGATGAGCTGTTATTTAGATAATACCCTGGGCTCATCCAAAATAGTCTAAATTGGCTCTAGAAACCAATAAAGATTACAGCTTTGCTGTATGAGTGTGTAGCCTTTTATCTATTTCTGGTGTCTAAACCTAGCTAATTCTTGTAAAAATCCATGCCAAATGAAATGGGACAATATTTCTGTAAGCACTAATTGATCATCAGAATTCTGCTAGTTCTAATGCCAGTTCGTTATAATCTTTGAAGGTTTCTTATCAACATTTTTCTTGGTTCCAGCTGTGGAGAGTGGTTGCTTTAACATTAACCAACACCACAAAATATGATAACAACTGGCCTAATGTTAGTTAGAATCAAGATAGGTTTTTTATCTTTGATCTATTGAACACATGTGAGTGTTATGACCATGAGAAGATTGATTGACCAGGTCTGTGGTCATATTTCTTATATCAGTATAATATAGAAGTAAATATTTGTAAGCACTGATTGTTAAATAATAAATTTTATGTAAACTACAGTCTAATTAAAATAAGACATTATATTATTTTATTAGCTTTTAATTTTAATATAGCCACTTCAGTTGGGCTCTAATGACAGCCATCTTGAACGTTCGTCAAAGTAACCTTTATTGACTTAACTGGATGACATCTGCTTTAACCAATCAAATTTATACCCTCTTCAGCACTTGCATTTTGTGAGGTGATGTTTATCAGGTTAATTTGATTACCACACTGTCCTAGCTAATAAATATTATTGGGTTTAAATAGATAGATTCTTTTTTTTGAAATATGCTTCTACCATTGTGTATATGAATTATAAATACAACCAAAGGTTATACATGGACTTTGTCTCACAAGAGACTAAGACTTATAATTTCTAATAGATAAGTAATTCTTTTACCAAACCAACAGCATGATATGTCAGCATTCCTTAAAAATAACTTCTTAATAACATGCACACTTCCATGTTGAGGAATTAATTTTTTGGATTAAAAATAGAGAACTGAAATTGTAGTTGAGATGAGATCGCAAGACATTGTGGCACACACGAGCCATCGGCTCAGGCAGAATTCATTTGTGCACTTCTCCTTAAGGCGATAGCTTCGGTGTGCAGGTAAATTTATGTTTTGATCATTCTTGGCATCATATGTGTTTGATTATTTTTTCCACAACTGAACATATCGTGGGTGACTGCTTGAAACCTTGTATAACGATATATGATGTGAAATTACTTTTCGAGAAAACCCCAAAAAACTATTTGAACTCGTATTTTGTTAAAATCTTTTTTACCATTTCTTTTACCGCTATACGTGGTTTTCATTCTTTGAAAATTCAAACCTCGTATAACACTTTGAATTCTTCGATTTGTTCAACCAAAAACTTGTATAATAGTACAGTATACAAGGTTTTTCGTTTTCATCTGCAGAAACCTCGTATAATAGAATATTTTACGAGGTTTTAAATCTGACTGTTTTTATACGTGATATTTGATTAGTGGTTTTTGGGTTATTTACAATCAAGCTAAGAATAAGAGGTTTTGATCATAAGATCCGTGCTTTTAGGAGCTTTCGAATGGTACCAAAATGTCAAAATGACCAAATATGGCATATACAAGGTTTAAAGCGGTCACCCACAATATGCTTGTGTGTGCGCTTAACTAAAGCTTAGTGGTAAATTTATTTATGCATGTGTTGTCACGTGACAATTCAAAATGGCCGTGCCCATGGAATTGAAATTGGTGGATGTCAACAAGATTTTCTTCGAGCAGTATCGTTAACAAACTCGTAGGGCGCAGTAGTTACACACACACACAAGCATTTGTTCATTTATGAAAAAAATTATCAAACACGTTTGATTTTCAACTTTTCGCCACAAATGACTAAAATCTTACATAGATTACTCTCACACGGAAGCTATCGCCTTAAGGAGAAGTGCACAAATGAAATCTGTCTGAGCTGATGGCTCGACATGTGTGTGCGCAGGACTTAAAGTGTAAAAAGTTCTAATTTGAACATTCTTGCATACAATGAGCTTAAATATACCGTCAGTCAGTTTTTCTGGATATTTCAGTTTTATCAAATTTGTTTGATTTTCTACATGTGTCCTTAATATATTTTTGTGGCTTGTATCAATATTAGACTTAGATCTGGTCTTTTATGCCTTGATGTTATGATTTCAACCACGATTAAACTTGAAACTGGTATCGATTCTGGTCTAAAGCCAAAACAATGCCATTCCTGATATAAACAGGGAGTGTTTACATTTGTTCAATGAAATATATTTCATGGGTTCTCAAATGTTAACATAATATTATTTAGGTGAATATCAACAAAAAAAACTATGTTAATCATATCTACAATCTAGTGGTTTAACCAATCACTGTCCAACTTACTACAAGGTCATTGTTGTAGTGCTCAGAGTAGCTGTAAATTAATTTGGACGTCCAAGGTTAAAACCTGACAATTTTATATGTACCATTAAATTTTTCAACTATGCGTATCCTTGTTAGTGTAATGTAGGTGGACCTGGAATAAGCGTCTAGACTTTGTCTCATGTAATGCAGATACTGCAGATCTCTTGAAAGTTGCAAATAAAAATAGGGTAATTAAAGAGGCCTTTGCTCATTTTTATACGCCCACATGAAATGGTGTAATAAATAATAAAACTTAACATCAAATACCATCCTTTAATACCCAAAGTTTCGTCAAAAAAGTTTTGACTTCATCAGCGGAAGAAACAAACTACAAATGGTGGAAGGCAGTTATGATTAAAATTACAATATATAATTTTGTTCTTTTTGGAATCACTACATGAAATGGGGGCGTATATTGCCGTCACCTCTTTCGTCGGTCCGTCCACAATTGCTCGTAAACACTCTACAATGCACAATTCTTGACTGATTTCGATGAAACTTGGTATGGTTGTTTGTAATCACCCAAGGATGAACCCTATTGAAAATCAGACGAATCGAAAATACTTACTATGAGTTATTGCCCTTGTTCTTGAAACGCTCGTAAACACTCCAGAAGGTGCAATACATGACGGATTTTGATGAAACTTGGTATGAGTGTTCGTAATGGCCCAAAGATAAACCCTATTGAAAATCAGAAAAATTGAAAAATATTACTTGAAAACGCGATCTATTTTTGGTTCGTAAACACTCTAGAAGGCACAATTCTTGATAGATATTGACGAAACTTGGCATGAGTGTTGGTTATCACCCATGGATAAACCGTATTGAAAAACACGTTCAAATTGTAGCTTGTAAACACCCTAGAAGGCACAATTCTTGACAGATTTTAACGAAATTTGGCTTGAGTGTTTGTTATCACCCAAGGATAAAGCCTATTGAAAATAAGAGAAATTGAAAAATATTTAGTATGAGTTATTGCCCTTGATCTTGAAAACTCATTCAATTTGTAGCTCATATAAACTTCAAAAGGCATGATTCTTGCTGGATTTTGACAAACCTTGGTTTTATTATTCAGTCCCGCGCTGAAGATTGAATATTTGCCTTCTAGAGTTTTCATGAGCTAAAAATTGAACACGTTTTCAAGAACAAGGGCAATAACTCATACGGTACTCAATATTATTCAGTAT